GCCAATAATTAAGGGCTAACATAATAACTACCACCACAAAGTCTGGGGTTGAGATTAAAACCGATATTTTGACACAATTGGCTGGGTACAAGATATTCTCATTAACACAAAACCTCCATAACATCCGGTTACCGGAGGTTAATGGTAGACACAGTCTGTCTACAGAGGCTTGATAAGTCAATCATGATCTGTCACTCGGACGCCAAGAAACATATTCTATTGTGCTAGGATATTATTTCTTATTAACTCATTAATCATTATATGCAGCACTATCATGGACTATAATTCCTGAGTCAAGTACTCCCAACCCTTGTCTGGGATGTAGATGGTGTGCATTTCGAGCAGTCTGCGACGAAGGGTTCTCTGTTCTGAACGGGTTCGAAGCGCCATTACGGTTGACTATTTCAGATCTTGTTAAACTTCATTAGGTGACAAACCAATATATCCATTTTCATATACACGTTTCATCACGAGTGTGGAGATAAACACTAATATGTATCAAACCCATTGCGAGATGTAGTTTTGGTCCCTTCTCACTTGCTGATAGGACCCAAGCGCGATGCTAAGCATATATTTAAAAGGAGTTTTTTCGGTTGAATGAAGACCTCAATAGGCCAAGCCCGAAATCAACAGTACCGAAACCCGTGGTAGGAGCTATAAAATTGGACAGCTATGATTCGCTCGGAGTCGGGGCTACCCCCCCCCCCCCCCCGGTGGAGGTAACAGAATCTTCTCCGGCAGAGGAACCGAGCCCAGGAGTATGGACCGGCTACTACAGCTGAATGCATGAAGGGTTGGGCGTGTCGAACTGCCCATAGATGTTCATTGGAGAATCATCACTTGCTGTGCACATGCAAGGGTATATATAATGGACGCCTAGCTTCCCCTAAGTGATAGAACTCGTTTTATTGCCGATTAGACTAATTTTTGAGGTTCTATCGAATAGAACGGGGATCTATTTGTTTGTTATAGACTCCCCCTCGGAAGGGGGGGTCTATTCGATAGATACACTTCTATCGATCCATTTTCTATCCGTTGTAGTCGGGATTGAGAAGACACCCTGTTAGTGCGAAAAATAGTTCCAAAAAATGGCTTCACGACGCCCAATTTGGATTGGGGGATGATTAGATCTTTAGGAATTTACAGAACATAAGCTTACTGGAACCTGGTCTATTCGAAAACCATCCTCCGTTGCGGGGGGGCATCCGATGTGTACTTGCACTATCCAAACCAATCGAATTAACCCGATGCAATGTTCAACACCACATCTAATAAGTATATAATTATAACCTGCATATGCAATGTGCTTTTATAGTCTTCTGATTGGTTCATTGAGAGATGTTTTTGTTTCACTTGAAACATGTTGTGTTGGATATTAACATAGGGTATTGTGCTGAGTGTTGTCAGAGTGTTAATAAGGTTTCTACTGGTTCTGGGAATCGATTAGTAGTTCGATTTTAGCAGCTTGGTGGCTGCTAAAGGGATATACCTGTAGTTTTAACTGGAGAAATTGTCTGACCTATCCATTGATATATCGGGGATATCAGAAAAGGCACATATTGACCAGAGCAGATCTAGATATAGTGATGGACTTTGCCTGTCAGTTGGGGCTCTCAGGCCGCTGCGCGGCCCTCGACCTCTCCTGGCAGGCAAATAGACAAATAAGCCGCAAAGCGGCTTGCCTGTATATTGGACTGATTGATATACATATAGTACCGGCCGAAGGCTGGAAACTACTTGTATGATATAAACAGATCAACAATTAGTGCGAAGCTGTAACTGCATATCATGAATGAATTAATCTATAAGCGGAAATATGGATCATGGGTTATCACTCGATACTCGGGATGTTACCCGATGATACCAATACACCTAGCTTGTCCTTAAACCTACATTTACTCATTGATCACTGTGCCCAGAACCCGACCGCATCAATGTGAATCTTCATGAAGAGCCATGGATCATGTTACACCTATATGATGTCCTAGAACCAAGACACAGCTGGTACAAGCGCTCGAACTCAGTTTTAGCTAACCTTCACATTGAAGAGGTTGGAATAAGAAGTAATGAATGTGGTGCTATAGTTGGGACGTGGGGACTTCAACCTGACCCACTTGGATTTGTCTTAATCACTGTTTGAGGAATATAATCATAGGATATCACTCGGCTTTCTTATCAATTGTAGCTTCCGGGTCAATATGTTCCTGAATGGTTTTATGGAGTTTCAAAACATTAATGCGAGGCAGACTTATGACTTACTATCAATCAATATCTAGCGGTCAATGGCCTCTGGTACTACCTCAGGATGCGAGGTTTCTAGTAGTTTCTTAGCGTCGGCTTGTGTCGAGTAAGAATTTGCTTATGCTGATCCATTCGTAATTGGCCGACAACACGCCACGAACGAGAATACAATGTTATAATTATTGCATGTTGAATTGTTGAATATGCTATTAATATTTAACCTCAGTATGTGGGGTGGGTGGAATTCTGACCCCCAGAGGAAGCAAGTTTGGTGTGGTTTACTATATATAGTAACAGATCTTGTTATCTATCTTATCAAATGGTAGATTTGACCCCCGTTGCCTAAAAGCGCATGGGGACTGGTTAGTCCCAGCTCCTCTGATGGGGTGGCGCTGCAGCGGGGTTATTCTACACCAAAAGTTGCATATAACTTGCATTTTGACGTCCAAAGACTGCCTCTGGTTGGCCTATACCCCTGCTGCAGCGCAACGAAATTTCTCAGATTTTGCGGTAAACGAAGTACCAATCATTCTAGATCACATTTGGCTTAGATACCCGTGCCGTATTGGTCAAGTCGTGGGGTGTTGCTATCTAATCGGTGGGTGCGCGGGTACCAATGTAAAGTCAAGTAGATCCTGCTACTACCCCACCAAAAAATAAGAATTCGAATATTGGGTGATTTCCCGTGGGCGTTTAGAAGCGATTTGGATGGAATTTAGAGCAATAAAACTTAGACGGCAACGTTCCAGATTCAGAATCTGAATGAGGGGTTGACGTTACGCACTATACAAAACTAGTACTTGGAAATTTAGAAAGCATTGTTCGCCATGGGATCCAGATTCAAAAATCTATTTCCTAAATGCCTTCCATGGACCCAAATTCTGACGGGAAGTGACCACCCATTATAAAGTTTATTAAACCACCGGGATCCAATGTATATAACTTAGGCATATATATACATATACTTATGACCTAATGGGCGTAAGATCTGCTCGTACATGTACTGCACACAACCAATCAATCATCTTCAACTCCTAACATAACCCCCTACTCGTAGGACGTGAAGAAATACTCACGGTGATAACGCCGGCCTCATCAGCCACAAGAGGCGCACAGCACCCCAATCAATTGGATGTAAAAGAGGCGTCAGCCAAGCTAAAGTACCTATAGCTCGAGAAGCTATGGGGTAGGTGTGTAAACTTCGGCGTTTTTTAAAGAATCGGCCAATCAATTAAACTTATAGAAATTGGCCATAATGGTACTAGCGCCTAGGCTAACCCTGACATTTCCTCAGATTCCCATACAAACGCCATACATACATATTTCTTGGAGCTGTGAAGACTCCATATCTGCGGCAACGGCTAGCTAGCCGTCAACGAACCACAAGATAGAGTGAGGTATCACATTATGATGAGAATTTATTGCTGTATCAGCCTAGATAAGAATAGCCAACAATCTTTTACAGTTTCGCACATTCGATCGTCAGCATAGGTTTCACGCAGGGAAACCAATTAGAGTAGAATATACATGATCTAAAAAAACAGGCTCTCTCCTTTGCAGTCTGATAGGCCAGAAAAAGAAGGTTAGCAAAAAAAGAACCCTCCAGATAGCAAAGGGATCATTGCTTGAATTCAGCTACATAGTCGTACGCGTAGAAGAGCTAGCTCCAGCCAAAATTCGCACTCAATTACCCCGCAGACGATGTGCCTCTACACACGCATTTAAGACACCCGTTTCTCTCAGACTGACCGCCCAAATAAATCTGTGGAGTGTGCTAATCTGAAACCTGGTACTTGTTTACCAGTAAAAGAACCGGAAAATGCAGTTGCTCAGGGCAAGGATAGATTGTATGGAGTGGCGCCGTTCTCTCATACAAATAATCCCTATTTCCGTCAGTTGCAGAATATTTGAGACATGAGGTCTTGGCAAAGTCTAACAGTGAAAGGTTTAATTAATCTTACATTGGATAACTGATTTTCCCGACTGACTAATGGCTTACAGAAACGTATGTACAGTCGCACCTCGCTATCTCGTAATTCGATATCTCGGATCTCTTGCTGTCTCGTACGAATTTGTGGGACAGGTACTTCCCTTCTCCACCAAAAACTATTTGCTGTCTCGTATATTTGCTATCTCGTAGGGGTTTGGCTCCCAGAATATGTTAACGACATAACGAGGTGCGACTGTATATTCCTCAGTTGAGATTTTTGCAGAAAAAGAAAAAGCTCAAAGAGAAGTGACGTGTAGTTTAAAAGCGCCTCTTTGTGAGGAAGTGGGTCTGGATCATGATGTATCTCAATTAATACATGTATGGTCCCCCCAGCCTTAAAGGTAACATGAGAAAAATGCCAAGTCTCTGATAACTTTTCAACCACGATTGATATTAAAAATCCGTAATGATAGAACTCTCCTTCATCACGGTATTCAGCCTTCTATCATTACGGATTTTTAATATCAATCATGGTTGAAAAGTTATCAGAGACTTGGCATTTTTCTCATGTTACCTTTAAGGCTGGAACCATATCGCTGTAAATGAAAATTTAAGAGCACAGTCACCAAGCGCGCACATCCATCTGTATACAATTACAATCATGTGTATAAGTTATTTACTTATGAACTGCCACCGAGGGACCACTTGGATACACAACTACCCGTAGCTGATCTCTAGGTCACTAATAGCAAACTATAAATGACTTCGTCGTTTAGAGATATATATATTATTAGATGTAATTAATGAATTAAACAAAAAAATAATCAATTTATTTTATTATTTCTAATGCTCCTGCTACTTCTACTGCTGCTACTGCTGCTACTGCTGCCACTGCTGCTACTGCTGCCACTGCTGCTACTGCTGCCACTGCTGCTACTGTCACCGCCTCCGCTGCTACTTCTGCTACTTCTGCTGCTGTCACTGCCTCCGCTGCTGCTACTGCTACTGCTACTGCCTCCGCTGCTGTCCCGATACCCCGCTGCTGCCTCTGCCTCTGCCTCTGCCTCTGCCTCTGCCGCTGCTACCTATTAGTAATGGCTATACCAATCATTGGGCTGGATATGACCTACCTTGATCCCGGTGATGGTGATGGTTATGGTGATGGTGGTGATGGTGACCCCAAGCGCTGAACTATGTTAGCAGAAGGGGAGAACATAGGGGAGCAGGCAAGCAACAGATGGGAACAGTTGGGGAACGGAGGGGAATAGATGGGACACTGATCTAATAAGATGAACTTGGAATGAAGGGAATGATGCTGGAGTCATTGGTGATGATTATCGTGGAGGTGTTGGTGGTGTTAAAGTGTTGGTGTTGAAGAAGAGGAAGACCACCCGTGGTGGTGCTTTATAGCAAGCAGGAGTCATTTAGTTAAATAGACATTTAGCTGAACAGTGGAAAATTCCAGTGTTAAACTGAGCTCGATCTTATCTCCAAAATTCTTGGCAGTCTAAACGACGAAGTGATTTAGCCAAACGACGTAGTCATTTACAGTTGTCCTCTAGAGCGCGATTTAACCTACTTGTAGTGGTTTCTATGGCAAAATCGAACGTGTTTGGCTTTAGTATCATGTGTATTATGTAGGTTTAAAATATCCGGACGATTTTATAGTTTTAGAAATAAAACTCCAATTCCATCGATCATAGCTACTAAGTACGTACATGTAGTTACATGTATAAATAACAAAAAGATTTATAAGCATCGTCGCAATATCCTCGCAACCCAAATTCCCATCTAGGTGGCAGTTTGCTGCTTACGAACACCCGTTGACAGCATATTTTTGCGTCTAACTCTGATTTTCTGACTCTCTTCGTGATTAAACTTCGATATCTTTTGGGCATGACAATTTCTGAGGTGGACTAGCAGGTTCCCCCTTCTTTCAATTCCAAGGCGACCAAGGCGGTGGCAATCCTCAAAACAATCCAAAAGACCTTCATCGTTTCTCTCACCGTGATAACTTGGCAATTTCTGAAAATCATAGAGATTTCTAGAATAGGTTGGCCTTCTACGAGGATGGCTCGGATTCGGATTAACCGGAGCAAACGGAGTGGACTGCGGTTCATCGGTTACGGTTTGGGGTGTGATAATATCCTCCCTACCATTACTGACACCAGTTGCCCGTATTGCGGAAGGGCCGTGTTGATCATATTCGTGCATCTCCACCGAATTCGAAAGACGTGAGTCCATGAGTTCAAATTGTGATTCCTCACTGCTTTTGGACGTAATGAAGATTTAGTTTGACTCTTAGAACAACCATTTTGAAAATTGCTTACCTAATACTACTAGAAGTCTGTGATTGCAGGTACGGGTGCCTCTCGCAACCTTTTACTATCCACTGCTCGTTCTGTTCTAAAATCCTGTTGTCGATATATGTGCGAGTCGCGTAAACCGGTGGTGAGCTCTGTGGAATTGTAGTAGGCAGTGATCCGCAGCAGGATAAAGATTCTAAGCTGCTAAAGTGACTGATGGATTTATGAGATACGTTTAGAGGTTGACTGGGGAATATTGGAGCTTACCTGGGGGGATGTACTGCAAGTTCAGTAACGTTTGATGGGCCATTGAGGCTCGGAAGGTGCTCGGGAGTGGATGTCTCTTGAGAGTTTCCTACCATCCCGTGTGAATCAGAGATACACATATGATCATCGAGATATGATCTTTGTGCTCTAGAGATAATGGAACGATTACGATACATATCGGAATTCGAATCGGAGGTGTAAAAGCTCATCGGTTTCAATGTATAATAGCAAACGGTGTAATGAAGAACGATGAATAGAGAGAAATATAGGTATTTTTGTCAGATATATAATGGTTAACCACTAATCCTGAAAAAGATGAGTCTCAAATCACTGAGCCATAGGGAGAACTATAATATCGTTCTCAGAGAGGGGGCGACCGCTTTTTCAACCTCTTGCACACTCAAACAGTTTTCCGGTCCATATACCATCTCAATAAACTCAGTCTTGAGCTCTATCATTCTGGGTTTCTTTGTCCATGTCGCTACTATTGATGCAAGCCTAGAGGGCAGCAGTCCAAACTCAGCGACTGAGATAAGCTCCCCAGTGTCAACTTATTACCGGGCCAGTTGTTGTACTTCGCAATCGCAAGGATGGGTTACCGAATACATCTACTGGCTTGGAAACATCCGGCGTGATTAGTCGTGATGCGAAAGAAACTCAGCAATAAAGACGTGAGAATGTCGAACCCTAGTAACGATAATATAGGTAATCTTGCGAAGCAGTTGGTGGAACGATCCATTCCCTATTGAACGTAAGTTTTGTCAGCCGTCTAAAAATGGCACAGCTTTAACTCAATTTTTTGCCCAAGAAACCCACCTGCCAATGTCCACGCCCTGTCTAGCTTTCGTGTCGAATTAAACTGTAGAAACATATAGCTTCCTGCCGTTAGTTAGAGGTTACACAATGATGCATTTGCCGGATAACACCAGAAACAAGTATGCATATCTGAGCAAGTTAATACTCTGTATGGATATCATTTGCTAATACCAAATACGAAGTCTGCATTGCATGATTTGGGGGTATATTTTTGAATAACCACGATCGTATTTATTTGATAGGTGAATTCAAACAGTCTTCCATGCGGATGCCAATAGGTTCGATGCCGGCGTTTAATGATGTACGGGCTCAGTCTAAGTAGAAGGTGGTGCGTGTTCGGATTAGGACCGCAGAACATGATATCTTTCTCGCCGGGCTACGCTTGGCCTCCATGTGCAGCCAAGTGTTATATATTTGGGTGGCTGGTGGTGAATCTATGGATTGGCTCGTTGATACGCAGGATGATTTATCCCATGGTCAAAGTTGGCCCTTTTTCGTGGGGGCCAAAAGCCACACGAAACCCGAGTGAGGGATTGGCCAGGGTTGTTTCGGGTCCAATAATTGATAACGATTTGTTAGCACTAGCCACCTTTTGGCCCCCAGGAAAAAGGGTCAACATGTCTTGACGGACTGTGGGATAAGCAAACATCGGGAGGCTTGAGGCTTGGCGCCCCCGCCACCTGGTAGAGTACTGTCGTAACTCAGCGACTGTTGTTTTAGCGATGTTCGTTGTGTTCGTTGTCGCGCTCGATCTGGGCGTTGTCCCACCGCCGGACTCCGAAATAGGTTCATTAATAGTCATCAGTCTCGAGTTATTCGGGCAAAAAGCTAAATATCTTCACCTTTAGAGGAAGCGATCTTCAAGAAAACAGCCCTCTCCTGCACGATTTAAACTAAACGTAGTTTAGCAAATCGTCTTGGCAACCCCCCGAATAACTCGAGATTTAGCGGTACTCGAGTTCTGGCACAAACGGCTGAGAAACCACTCCGGGCCATCGCTTATCGATTATGTGATTTTTCGGAACAAGCACTCTATCGACTGCGGTCCCCCGGGATAAGGATTTTATTATGAAGTATACCTACCGTGTGTTAGCTATTTTGAAAGTGTATAGAGTCAAAGAGAAATAAGGGGCAGTAAGCATCAAATATACCATACTTCGAAGGATGTCTCCTATCCCTCGGGAAAAGGTCTCGAGAGTACCGCTGTCGGCCAAAACCCGCTGTCGGATTGTATGAGGATGGATGATGAAATAACTATGATAAGTATGAATACCCAGGTGAATGCAATTTCTGATGGCTGCTATACTAAACTCGCGAGAACTCTTGTCAACCAACAATATCTTGATGAGAGATGTCAAAAAAGGTTCCCAAGGGTTATGGCATCTATACCTTCATATATAGTCCATTACAGATCAAAATAACACGTCATGATAACGATGTACAGTTGGTATTGCTGGGATACACTAGGATTCCCCGTCGGAATAAGATTTTGATGGAGGTGGTGTGATCACTACCCGAGCGTTAGCCAATCATGAAAAATATTGGAGAAGAAAGTAAAAACTTGCAGAAGAGAGCGAACGTGATGATCCATATTTGGTTGATCTATGAGGAGATGAGCAGGTATTATTCCTTTGAATACAATACGTAAGTCTCAAAGTTGGTCTTCGAGACGTTTCACGATCACGACGGCGGAAGCTACCTACTACTGGCCACCCACTGCTGGCCACCCCTATATATATAAGAATTCGGGAGAATTCAGGAAGGAGCAGTGCCCAATAGTTAGGTTACATTTTGAACGCACCTTGCATTTAATCTAACCTAGCGTGCAGTTAATATTGGCCGAACGAGGTCTCGCGCAGTGGATGATGTAGCCAGACAATGATATATTTATAAGACAACTATACATGTATAGATCGACTAATCTTTACCTACTCTACCATCCTATCTATTTATATTTCTAGGATCATTCTTTATTATTGAGTTAAAAATGCTCAAGCCAGAGCGTCAACGTGACACGCGCGCGAAGTCTGTTTTCCGCGCAGGACTGCGCATGCGCCAGACTACGCACTACGCGTGTTCTTGGCAGCGTTAACCATCACAAGTGAGTAGAGCGTATTTCAATAACCACGATAGATATGGAGAAGAAAACTGTTTGTCCATGAAGCTAGAGAGCAATTGAACTAGTATTCCTGTTCGTAGGCCCGTGTAGTGGGAAAATCAGATTTTTGGTTCATGCGGGGTGAGTAAATGTAATTACAGCTACGAGAAAACTTTATTTGATGAGACCACTCGCTTCACACACGGCAAACAGCGTAGATCTGGGCGGCCCACCGCCATGAACCTATCTGCAACCTTCAGAACGAAATTTTGATAGTAATCGCCTAAAAAGCGAGGGGAAAAAATGAGGGGATGCGCACAACTCTATCAGAGCCTATTATTTTGTAGAGGGGGCTTTTTCTGCTTGCGGTGCCTCCTTTGATCAAGCTAGCCGGATAGTGAGTGAGAAGATTATTGTAGAACTAGCTAGTCCTATTGGCTCCAGCAGCCGTAAACCCCGCCCTCGTACTGCACCAGCTACTCAGGAATCCCCCACGGGCTCTTGCTTGATTGATCAGGGGTGATTTAGTAAACTCGAGCCGCGCAACTTGAAGGGGGAAGAAGGGGGCGAGGGGGCTGAGGTGGGTGAGGTGGGTGAGGGGGGTGAGGGGAGTGAAAGCCGGCGTATGTGAGATCAGTTTGACCGGTCGCTCAACGAAATATCCCTTCGTTCGTTTCGACCATGAACGCTATTGGGGGTGTTTAGCTTGTTCCAGCGACTTTATCTCTAGTACACCTACCTGTCCGCTGAGACGAATTACTGCGGTAACCCACAAAAAACGCGCAGGACAAATGGCGACGCAACGCTGTTGTATCTCTTCTTCCACTAATAACAGGAGTATATATTGATGATAGAGACAAGACAAGACAAAAGCAACATGTAGCTAGAGATGTCCGTGATGCGGACATCTGTATGGTGCCCCCAGTCTTAAAGATAACATGAGAAAAACGCCAAGTCTCGAATAACTTTTCAACCACGATTGATATTAAAAACCTGGAAAGACAAACTCTTCTTCATCAAGGTATCCAGCTTTTGTTTTTCCAGATTTTTAATATCAATCGTGGTTGAAAAGTTATTCGAGACTTGGCGTTTTTCTCATGTTACTTTTAAGACTGGGGGAACCATATTTCTCACAACCTTTGAGGCAGTCTGTCGATCGGACCGTGTAGTGCGTGGGGTGAGTTTTGTCATGGGCTATCACTCGCGCCTCACAATTTTTTTTTTTTGTTTAATTCATTAATTGTATCTCGCGCCTCACGACCGAGAGTAGCTGAAACACTTTTTTTTTTTTTTTTTTTGTGTAATTTAGCTGAGACGCTTTACCTGTGGCTGGGTTTTTTGTTTGTCCCTGCCGGAAGTTATCGGGATAGATTGTGAGGGGGAGCGATAGGTCCTGATTGGGCGTGGTAGGGTGAACGGCTTTCGTTCCCGATCGGCCGCGAATGGCGAAATCTATTGTTGGTAGGGCTAGACTTCTCGGGACGAAGTTGGGCTGGGGTACCGTGTTGTGTTAATTGTGCATCTACATTTTTGGCCGCTACGGTTTGCTGCTGGACGCCTGTTTGGCAGTATGCAAAACCTCCACAAAGTGTTTTTCCACCACCGGTCGAGTCAGACATGGGATTGAATGAGTTTCGTTCTGCTTTGGCCTTTATTGACCCACACGGTTGCACTTATATTGAACATGAAGATATATTAGCAAAACATAGTATATATCCAGATCGTATTTGTGGTGTCGCTGATTCTTTGTTATTGGGTCTTGGATTATTACTTGGTGAAATCGCTATGATCAAAATACATGGATGGCATTGTGGTGTAGATCGTATATATAATATTGCGTACCCGCCTAAGTTTGCTATAGTATACGTATATATACAGTCAAGCCGAACCACTACCCACGCATGTCCGTACTCTACTCCACAACCCGCTGCGAGTGCTAGCTGAAGGTGCTTATCAACATGAACCACTTACTACATGGGCTTTATTTCATTGTGAAAGAATCTATCGCCAGTCATAGGAACCTAAGGTCTCACAACGGCATATAACGCACGTTCAGATGACCTTGATCTCACTCCCGGGTATGTTTATGTTATCCCATTGCATAACGTTTACTTCGATTCATCTAACTGTATAGAGATACACCGCTTCTAGATACATGTGCAGTGACCCTTCGTTAAGCGTCCGCTGCCTCCGCTGCCTCCGCCGCATCCGCAGTCAACCACGCACGTGCACTCTCCATCTAACGCCAAACTCTCCTTTGACAGCCGTTTCGTATGGCGAAATACCAAGATTCCCGGCCCGGATCAGCTACAGCATATATCTATAACTAGCCCCCGCGTCCTGCGGTGATATAGAGAAGGCTTTACAACAGGCGGCTCTCGCCGAAAGCGTCTCAAGTTAGGCAATGTCAGCCTAAACCATTAGAACGCCTGACCGGGCTACTCCTTTATTTCAACTGGCCGTTGAAACCATATATATATATATGAAATAGCATTCACGGGGAAGGTTCTCCAGTCTAAAGTCATTGTTTTCGGACTGATATCATAGCGCTGCATAATTATACAACAAGAGCTAACTCGAGCTAGATATTAGACAGACACCGGTTCCCCAGCATTCCAATCAAAAGAAATATTTTCTTTATTGATACACGCTTAAGTTTTTGAACCATATTCCGAGCCGAATATTATACTCGGGTCACGTCGGAAGCCGATATTCAATAGGCCAGGTCAGGCTAGCCAATAATTCAAGGCTAATAACTGCTATTACAATGTTAGCGGCTTAACACTAGAGCCGGTGTCTTGAGCATTGGAATAACGGCCACCTAGATGTGAAGTATCTTTATTTATATACAACCTCCGCAACAACTAGGTACTCGACACTAATGGTAGATACGGCCTATCTGCAAGAAGCTTAGTGACTCAATCATAATCTATCACTCGAGAACTAATACACTAATAGTGTCGTCTGATGAATATTGCTATTTCTTGCACACCAAACCTTAAACACCGACGTAGTCACCTAGCACTAGGAATCTGGAATCACCTCTCAACTACCTGCTCGCATCAATGCGCCGTTCATAGTGTGGTCCATGAGCCGAGCAAGCTCGAGCTTTATGTTTGAGCTTTAGGCTCGTTGAAGACAGGCCCCACCTTTATGCGGCCGGGCTGGCTCAAGCCCTTTAACTGAGATTTTTACTGCAAACCAATGTTTCCGTTCAATAAAAGAGCTCCAGCTTGGTCAAAGTCGGGTATGCGGCACCGAAGCCCGTGGTTGACCGAGCTATCCCAGTGCACAGTCATTATTCACTCATATTTTGGGAATCATATCCTCAGCGGACGTAACGGGATTTTCCGGAAGTGGGGTTGATACTACTACTACATACTACATACTCTAGCTTTGAGGACTGCACGAAAGGCTGGGCGTGTTATGTTGTTTGTGAATTGTAAGTCACGCGTTAGAGAGTAGATAAACCAGATGCTATGCTTATACACCGTAAATAAGCGCTAACTGCAATAGACAAATAAAGCGAAACAACTCGATACTACAAGACTCAATGCTGCACACCGGATAAACAGACGAATCAATCAGTGGGAAGTTCGATATGCAATTAATGAATTAAACAAAAAAAAAAAAAAGTGGGAAGTTCGATCATGGAATATCACTCGATATGGAATGTCAGTCGATGATTCCTATGCAGCAGGTTTGCTCTCACAGGTTTTTCTGCTCGTTGGTCGGTCTATGGAGGTTTCCTAAGTACGGTGTCTACGGCTTGATTGCATCAACGAGTACCTTCGCGAAGAGATCACATGGACCATGCATGTTGCGCCTTATGCATCGTGTAGCTCAGCCTAGGGCCTAGGCCACATGTGGTACACATTCTCGAGTTCGGTGCTACATTACTGCAGCATCGAACAGGTTAAGGTAATACGAAGTAGTGCGTGTGGTGCTACAGTGAACCTGCTCCCACAGTCTGACAGCCCTAGTCATAGGATATCACTCGAATTATTTTCTTCAAGTGTTGATTCTGTGGCCCCCCGGCCGAGGTATGGTATCATGCTAGGCTGTTTTCTGGTATATCAGGAGATATTAATGTGGCGTAATCTTACAACCTCTCCATACACTAACTCCCGGGGCCAACGATCCCCCCATTCTCAAGATGTGAGCTTTCTCGTGGTTCCTTGGCGTGGGGCTTTCGCAGAGCTAGGAGGTCGTGGTAGCAGAGCATGGTAGAAAAAGCCACAGTGGAGGATGGGTTTAGTAAGAATACCGGTTTATTGGGATTTGCTAACGTGAAAATATAAAGGCAGTGCTAGTGTTGAATATGCCACTGTCTGGACTCTGCTTAGTACTAGCGGTATGTTAGTTTATCGACGGCTAGGCCGAGACCTGCTCAGGATCTGGCGATCTACCAGGCTCGGTAACTTGGCTTGGCACCGAAAATTACTGTTTATGATAATTTCTAGGTGAAATCTCAATTGTATTATTACCTTATATGGTAAGGCAAGCGCCGGGTTTGTATAATATTCTGAGCACCAGATTCTCAGCATTTTTCGTCCAACGAGGCGGTAGCATCAATCCATGCAGCTTACCAGAAATCTAGGTAGCTCAGGTATCTAATCATGGGCGTAAAGCCTGCCTCGTATATCTTCAACGACTAAACCTCAAAGCTGCAACTGCGAACCTCCTATAAGGGTAATCTCTATGGTAGCACTTTGGCCCCTTTTCTTTGATTTTCAGCAATGGAAATCTTTCTGTAAAGGTGACCGCCCTATAAAGGTACATACCAAATTCCTTATTGAAAACTCTCACTGTATAATTTTGAGGCAGCATATCTTGCCTGAAGAAGATACGAAATGCCCCGCAGTGATAACACCGGCCCGATTTGCCACAAAAGACGGGAGAAAAGGCGCGCCAAGTCGGACCAAAAAAAACCTCAGCCATCGAAAGTGCAACACTCTAGATACCTACATGACCAGCTGACACCTCTCCCTACTCAGCAGCCTACCATTGATATTCCTACCCACATCCGCGACATGCCAGCCAGCCGCTAACGAACCATATCAGAGACATTTATACCACACAATCGTGAAAATGTTTTGTCAGATAAGAGGATAGCCAACCAGCTTCCGTAGCTCCACATCTCCGTCAGCATAGACTCTATGCGGGGTAACTAAGGACAGAAGGTATGTGGACGCACATTTTCTGCGGGGTAAGTAGGTGCGCATTTTTGGCTAGTTATTGATGCTTAGTTATATAGCTGGAATATCCAAGTGGATGTTCATTTGAACTTATGCTTTTGCAGGATATCAATTAGGAATCTTCCCAACGAAAAGATCTCGATCCTTTTATTTCTTCACAGTAGCTACTGAACGCCTAAGTAGTAGTTTCTCCCAAATCAATGCTATTGAGTGTGCTAATATGCGACATGGTACTATACGTAGTACAAGGCTCGTAAGCCACAGAAATTTGAGACACGAAACTTAGCAAGGTTTAGCGTGCAAGGCTACCATTATGACAATCGGTTTCTAATTGAACTAATTTTTCGACTGATTTGAGCAAGAACGACCGATGGCTTACAGGAATATATCTCAATTGAGTCTTTTGCAGAATAAGAAAAGACTCGGCCAATTAGACCGCAGAAGTGACATAGGGTTGGTGAAGAAAATTCAACTAGTATCATAACTGACCAGGCGAGTCCATCTGGCCATGAAGGGGTGTGTACTGGTGGTGAGATCAAGCCAATTTTCACCTTGAAATAATTTGGTCACCAGCTATGGACATAGATATACATATAACGGTATAGATATGTATGTAGATAGTTTTACGAATTCAGACCATCAATTGCAAGATTATTTGGAGAACTAGATGTAACATTGTGATTTTGATAAAGTTTAACGACTTTGGTTAAAGAGAAAAAAAAGAAGAAAAAGAACTTCGAATTCCACCCATCTTCGTTAAATTACATGCAGAAGGAAAACAAAAGATTACCATAAATTTTGACCCGGAAACCTTCTCCCAGATGCCTAAATGACCCTTTTCTACTCACTAGTACTACCTGTCAACATTTTGTTTGTACGTGGCTCTAATTTTCTTACTCTTTTCACGGTCATATTTCGGCACCTGCTGCCCATGGCAATTCCTGAGGTGGACCAGTAGGTTGCTCCTTCTTCCAAACCCATGACGGCCAAGACGACGCTTGCGGCAATCTCCAAAACACTCGAAACGATTTTCATCATTTCTCTTCCCACAATAACCTGGCAAGTTCTGAAAGGCATACGGGCCACCGTGTTGGGTTGGCCCACTACGAGAAGGGTTTGGATCAACTGGAGGAGAGGAGCTGGGTTGCCGTTCACCGATTGTGGGATGAGGTCTGGAGAGCGCTGGGACAGCGTCCGTGCTGGGGCTGTTGATGCTTGGTGTTTGTGCCGCCGAAGGATTGACCCAAGGGTCTAGTTGATCATATTCGTCTGCCAGAACCGAATTCGAAAGACGGGGGTCGGCGGGTCCAAATTGTGATTGTTCACCGCTGTTGATAATAAAAGTTTAGCTTACATTTGGCTACTCAAATAACAATTCTGGAGATGAATTTACCTGAAACTACTGAAGATTTCCGATTGCGAGTACCCTTCAGACTTTCCTCTCCATTGCTTTTGTTCTGGATGCCTGTTGGAGGCGAATGCACACGCGGCGCAACGGGGTTGCAAACTACGCGGAGTTGTAGTAGCTGATAGTGATCCGCAGGAGGATAAAAGCCCTGAGTTACGATGACTGGTTTATTTATGAGCTATGTAAAAGTTTGGTTGTGAAATGTTAGTACTTACTAGCAGAAATAGGTTAGGAATTCAGCGAATTCTGATGTTCCATTGGCATCATGAAGGCATGCGACAGTAGATGCCTCCTGAGAGCTTATTTCTGTTTTAGGTGAAGCGGAGATGGAGTCATCGAGAGGAGAGCCTTGTGCGCTAGGATTACCGGCAATGCTAGCAGCATTGGGGTGCATATATGGGCCGACGTTGTAAACACTCATTTTTAATGTATAGTAGCAGGCCGTGTAATCGGGAATGATGAATAGAAAGAGATGGGGTGTTTTTGGCCAAATATATATAAGGACAACCGTTCCTCGTGAAAACTGAGTTTGGTCGAGTCTCAACTTCTTGGGCCTCCCTCCGGCCCATTATGTCGTCCTTAGATGGAGCAGCCACTCTTCAACCTCTTCTATATTCAAACAATCTTTTGGCCCACAAAGCATCTCAACAAACTCAGTCTTGAGCACTTCTATCCTATGGTTTTTTGACCATGTCACTACTATCGATGCAAGCCCTATAGAACTTAGCAATCGCGGTCTAAACTCAGCGACTGATATCAGTTTTCAATCGTGAAGCGAAATACCGAGTCAGGCGTTATTATGTCCTGCAATTGCAAGGATGGGCTACTGATTTTTTCTGCTGGCTTTGGCACGTCCAGCATGATCCGAAGTGATGCAACAGGAACTCAGCAAAAGGTGTCGAATACTGGTGAGAGTATCGAATCCTAGTAATGATATCAAATCCCAGCAACGACATCAAGCCCTAGTATAGATATTAAGTCTTAGTGGTTATGTGGGTAATTCTGTGAAGCAAGTAGTGGAACGCTTCATCCCCTAGTGAAAACAGTTTATCGACCGCATCTAACGTCGGTATAGCTTGAACCCAACTCCCTCGTCCAAAAAACCCGATTGCCGGTCACCATTCGGCTTCCCTTATCGGATTAAAATATAGTTTATTAATGCCTTGCCCGATGTAAAACATAGATTCCTGTTCAGTGGTTGCATAAGGGTGCTTTTGCTGCATAGCACCAAGAAAGAGTATATCTAAACAAGTTAGTGTTTGATGTGACACGTGGACTACTATTTGATAGTATCAAATACGAAGTCTGCATTACCTATGGAAGTATGATGTCGAATAGCATGGTTGTGGCTGTGCGATAGGTGGGCTCTAAGCCGTCTTCCATGCGGGCGCCGATAGGCTCGATGCTGGCGTTTAATGATGACTATGTATGACCTCAGTCTCAGCAAGAGGTCATACTTGTTCAAATTATAACCACAAGATCTAATACCCGGGGTAGGTAAGAAGAACCTGAACATGAAATATCCAAGCAGGGATATAATTTGCAATTGGCACATAATATGCACGAATCAGCGACTGTTACCTCCAAATTCATGTTCAGGTTCTTCATACCTACCCGAGTAAACTTTTTGCCAAACTGAGTTTCACCTCCATGTAACGCCAAATGTTACGATTAGGCGATTGGTTAATCTGTAGATTGGCTCGTTGATGTGCCTTTACTGGTCAAGTAATTTATAAGCAAAGATCGGAGCTACAACGGCTTCAGGCTTGGCGTTCAGGATATTCGGTACTAATATGCGGGATATTCGGTACTAGTGTCCGGGATTGGTATTCGGTACTAGTACTCGGGATTAATACTCGGGCTTGGCTTCGTCTTTTCGTCTGATCTCGCTCTGATCCCAAAGTAAACTGGGCAGGTTTATTTCCTATACCGAGTAAGACTTCTGTATTGAGAGGAGTTTTGGGGATATATACCTTTAACTTATCCCACACGATAACAACATCAGTGAATACTAGTTGATTCAGCGGTAATATTAAAGATGCTGCCAAATCTCCGTCGGGGATGCATGTATCTACCGTATGTGCTGCGATTATTAGCTATTTTAAAGTCTAACGAATAAAAAAGAAATAGGAAAAAATGTGCATCAAATAGACAACGAAAATTCCACTTCGAGGGGCTCCTCTTATTTCCTGAGTACCGAGTCTCGAATATACCTTCATTAGAGACTTCGAAAAGGTCCTCGAGGGTTATGAGTATCTGTACCTTGATATATAGATTAATATATTCAAAGAACACAGTTTAGTGATGTGTAGTTGGTATTGATGTTGTAATAGGATTTGACGGAGTGATGCAAAACCTGTGAAGTGTCATGTAGTCAAGTGCCCAAGTTGAAAAATATCGAAAAGGAAAGAGGAACTTGGGAGCGCGAAACTGAAGATGCAGTTTCTTTATAATATCTTGAGAAGATAGACGGACAGGTATTATTTCTATTAACATAGGAGTCGCAAGTTTGTCCTACGGTCCTGCGGTGTTGGGGGGGCTGGCGCCTCCTGGCCCTCTGTGTAAGCATGCAATGAGCCATAGTCAGGTTTGACTATTGAATAGCATCCTTGGAAATCTGCCTTGCGGAATTTCCTTCCCCATAGGTTTAACAAACGCACCTTGCATGACATTAGTGTTACGTGTAGGCCGTACGGGGGTTCTGACATCAGTAAGGATATCCACTGATCCTAAAATCTGAAAGTTCCTCGAATACAGTTAGTCCAACCCATCCTCCCTTCATAGTTTGTTGAGGGGTATTGGGCCGCGTTGGAAAATGTGACTTAAGAGGTGGTAGTGATAACATTTCCTCCCCGAATTAGAGGAGGGAGCGGGGCCGGGGCGTTGCGATTTGGAAATAAAAACAGGTTAACCTTGCCTATGCATCGCGCGTACTTAAACTTGAACGTTCAGAACTAGAGCGATGAATGTTTTACATGGTATATAGAGATCACCTTAGTACCTCTAGATTCACATATTTCCATGATCTAGTTGTATCTTTATTGATGGCGACGAATTTCAAGTATTTGCGTTACTGGTGTAAGAACGGAAGAGCGAAGGAACAGGGGCGGCAGTGAAATAGAAATACCGCGGTATCTAAGAGCAGAGCCTCAATATGCACAGTACTATTATCTCAGTCGATAGCGCATATGTGGATTGATGTTACGTTGTCGAGGCTGAATTGATATGCCGGATTGCCAAGACTCGAGGGATTTCGTACGGGATAGCAAAAAAATCCGGGATAGCAAATTGATTTTGCAGTAATAAAATTAAAATCTCAGAAGATTTCGTACGGGACAGCAAGGGATCCGGCTTGCAACTGTAGCACTGTCAGGTGTTATTACTTTTTTTAAACTCATAGTATGGTATGCAACATGTTAACATCGGTCGCGTCCACAGGATACCGCACGGGAGCCTCATCGCCGTACCAGCATGCATACTGCATTGCATAGTCGAATGTGACACCTACAATATAAGCCATTTGTGAAGTTCGTAGTGTGAGAGAGAATGACTTTGAGTGTGGTTTGAACACGTGACCTTGAGGGAGGATGTGTTTGTAGTGCGAAGAAGATACTATTGCGCCGCTGAAGTTCCAGCGACAATGTGGGCGTTTGAGCGCTCTATATATACAGATATTCTAATACCACGTGATCCCCTGATTGCATAATCCTTGACACTAAGCCTTGTCCGAATCCCTGTTCCTTCTATGAGTCATCCCTTATACATGAGTAATTCCATACATAACCGATGTCGCAATGCCCTATTTCTACACTTCCCCTCACTTGCCACATCGTATCAATTCTGACAATTTTTGGTGAGCTGGTTTCGGTAGTCCTTTGGTCATTATGTCTGCAACATTGTCTTCGGTTGGGACATAGAGGAGTTTGAAGGTTTCGGCTTCGAGTTGTTCACGTGTGTAGTGATAGTGAACGTCGATGTGTTTGGACCGATCGTGGATACGTGGGTTCCGACATAGTTCGATAGACCCTGTGTTGTCGGCGTGGATGTTGTATTGGTATTGTTGTTGGAGTTCGCATAAGGCGTTGCGAATCCATACCAGTTGTCGAGCTGTTAGGGACAGTGCCATATATTCGGCTTCTGTTGTTGAGACGGCGACTGATTTCTGCTTCCGGCTTCTCCAGCTTATGGCTGATTTTCCTAGTCTGAACACGTATCCTGAGAACGATTTTCTGTCATCTAGGTCTGAAGCGTAGGAACTGTCCAAGAAACCATCGAGTGTTCTAGTGTTTCCTTTCGGGTAGAACAGGTTCCAGTCCTTGGTTCCGTTGAAGTATCGGAGAGTTCGTTTGGCTGCTCGTAGGTGGTCCTCAGTTGGGCATGAGGAGTACTGAGAGAGGGCTGTAATGGTATGGGTGATATCAGATCTGGTTGCTATGCTGGCGTACATGAGTGATCCAATTATGGATTGATACTCAGTTGGTTTCTCGATTTGATCTTCTGGTTCTCCTTTACGAAGATTCAGATTTGGTTCGAGTGGTGTACCAACTGGTTTGCAGTTATTCATTCCAAATTTGTCTAGGATTTTGTTGATGTATGCTAGTTGTGACAACGTGATACCGTTCCTTGTTACCGTTATTTCTATTCCCAGTAGGAATTTCGCATTACCGAGATCCGTACATTCGAAATCTGCCTTAAGTAGTTGTCTGATTTCGTTTCTGAATGGGGAGTCGGGTCCGAATATCATGATGTCGTCAACATACACCGATATGTATAGTTGGTGTTTCTTATGAATGAAGACACATGGGTCAAATTTGGCTGGAACAAATCCTTTCCGTTGAAGGGAGTCTGCTAGGCAAGCGTACCATTCACGGGGTGATTGTTTTAGTCCATATATGCATTTTCGAAGTTTACAAACCTTATGGTCCTGCCTGTAGCCTTCAGGTAGTTCCATGTAGATTTCCTCCTTAAGTATACCATATAGGAAGGCTGACTTCACGTCCATTTGTTGTGGTATCCAACCATTGTGTGCGGCTAGTGCAAGTAGGAGTCGTAGGGAATCGTATCGGGCAACGGGGGCGAAGGTTTCATCATAGTCTTGATACTGTACTTGGGTGAAGCCTTTGGCGACGTATCTAGCTTTGTATCTTTCGATTGTTCTGTCCGCGTTGTGTTTTACCTTAAATACTCATTTTCCTCTGACTACTGCTCGGTTGGTTGGTCTGTCGACAATGACCCAGGTGTGGGCCTTGTCGAGGGCGTCTTTCTCTGTCTGTATTGCCTTCTTCCATAGGTGTTGATCATCGCTTTTCATTGCTTGATTGAAGGTGGTAGGTTCAGTTACTAGGTGTACCCGATGTATGGTGGGATCCAGGTTGTCGTACTGGCTTTGGAGCTTTGCTTTGTCCTTTTTGTGGTCTAGAC